AAGTGCTCGGCAGTGAAATCCCCATTTCTCAGCATAGAAGTGTATAAATTAATCTGATCTTTGGATCTATGCGTGTTTATCTTACATTCATATACACTCTGAAGGAATGCCATGCAACACAATATTTATCTAATCAAAATAAAGTTTATCAATAAAAAACAAGTAGGAGGGAAATGAAAAGGGATGAAATTATTTTCTGTTACTCTAACATGACCTTATATCCAGTATCACTTCTTATATCAAAAGTAAGATAATAGGAAGAGCCTCACGAAGTGGCTGGCGATGACAAGTTGTGGAGTTGCCTATGATAGCCAAGGATGCAAGATTTTTGTTGTTTGTTTGTTCATTCGTTTATTTATTTTGCCTAGCGTTTCCCAGATGACTTATTTCAGAAATGTTGGAGATTTAGTTTAAAAAGAAAAGAGTTCCTAAGGATTCCAATTAGTCAAGTTGATTAAAGTATTTCTTGCAACAAAGTCAAAGATTTGGATGATTCTGCATTTAGAGATGCATTGCGGTTGTTCAATGGCTGTGAGCCAAACATGTAGCCCTGCATGTACCAACAACACATGCTGTTTCTGAGAAAGTGTGTGGCTGGTACCATGCGTCACTTTGTTGAGAAATGACTAGAGTGCCTATTTCTTCACTTGTTTGAAAACAATGACTCATCCATTGTTAACCGCCTTGTTGTCTAGAGTTCTTCCTACCACCAAACCACTTAAAAGATTGATTGGGAATTGGCTAATGTCTCTTCTCCTTTAGCCAAACTGTTACCAGATACCCCTGGTCCTAAGAGCTGGCTCTGAAACTGAACACTTACCCACACTGAGAGAAATGACAGTATATATAGATGAAAAATGAATTTGTTTACACTTTTAACCAAAAGAAATTGTCTCTGTCTTGCCCATAGCAGTGTTATAACTTACAGAAAAGATAAAACAAAAGTCAGGTAATATGCATATATACGTTTAGCTTTAGACCCCAGTTACAAGAATTGGGAGACAGTCTTTCTCCTGGACAAAGGGCCAGGGATTTGGGGGTGGCCCATTTTCACTCTGAGCATGGTATTTCCCAGTGGGAACTGAAGCTGAAAAAGAATTTTTGAAAATGTATTCCAAGTTCTAGGGGCCTGTTACAAAACTTCTGTTTAAGATAAGTAGCTTCAATTTGTTGAGTGTCAATTTCCTTTGAAGTAAGAAAATAGATAGTTGGAGTCCGGTACAGTGGCTCACACCTGTAATCCTTGCTATTTGGGAGGCAGAGATTGTGAGGTTCATGATGCTGGGCCAGCCCAGGCAAAAGTTAGTGAGACCACATTTCAACCAATAAGCTGGGTGTGATAGGATATGCCTGTCATCCCAGTTATGCAACAGGTGTAAACTAGAGTATTGTGTCCAGGCAGGCTGGGGCAAAAGAATGCAAGACTCTATTTGAAAAATAAAACAAAAAGGACTGGGAGTGTAGTTCAAGAGCACCTGCCTGCCAAGTCCCAGGCCCTGAGTTCAAACCCTAATACTGTCAAAAAAAAATGAGGTAATGTTAAAGAATGTGTTTAACATGACTAAAGCTCTGGGTTCAAGCCTCGGTACCAAGAATTAAATAAGCAAATATTAATACCTATGTCCAATTACTATTCTGAGAATTTAAGATGATGTATGCAACATCCAAAGATAGTGTTTGACATATAATGAGTGTTCAGTAACTATTCCATGAACAAGTGTTTTGACCACATAGATGTTAGGAATGCAGAGCTCTCCATAGGAACAGATCCCAGATAAGCTGCTGACACTGGGTTTTGAATCCAGAGGAGTTTGTTTTAAGCAGCTGCCCTGTCATAGGCAGTGAAGTTCTAATCAAATCAGAAGAAAACAAATGCAGAAAAACACTAGAGACATACATGTCTCACATTCCACATGGATACAAACCACCTAGAGATATTTTTTAAACACAGATTATGATTTAATGAGAAGTCCCATTTCCAGCAAACTCAGGTGCTGCCTGTATGGCCTGACCCCTGAAGATGTGTTTAGCAAGATCCTAGAGAATTCAAAGGCATGACAATTTAGGAAAAACAGTACTTGAATCCAAATATAGTACTTGGTCCAATGCCTAGACCAACATTCTGTTTCCTGGCACAACAACCTAAAATTTATTTGTTAATTTATTTTATTTACTTTTCTATTGGTGATACAGGAGTTTGAACTCAGGGTTTCACACTTGTTAGGCAAGCATACTACCACTTGAGCCATTCCTTTAACTCTTTCTGCTTTACGTTATTTTTCAGTTATGGTCTCATGTTTTTGCCTGGGTCAGGCCTTAGACCATGATCTTTCTGCCTATGCCTTCCATGTATCTGGAACTACAGCAGTGAATCACTATGGAGAGCTTTTTATTGACATGGGGTCTTGCTAACTTTTTGCCCAGACTGTCCTTAAACTGCAATCCTCCTTATTTATGCCTCTCAAGTAGTTCCTTTGTTCATTTAACAACAGCAACAAAACTGATTTACTGCCTACTTCACATCAGGCAGAGATCTAGGTTCTAAGTGTAAAGTAAAGAAAGTAAAGTGAAGAAGGTAAAGTGGTAGGGTGAGACAATAAACTTGTAACTAATTGGAATAGGTTCTAGTTGTGATTAGCTATGATGAAAATAAGCTAGTACTGTGGAAATATATTTGATCAATGAAGACTGCTTTTCAGAAGCAGAAAATTGAACTGAAACCTGAATGTTGAGGACCATCTGCTGTATAGAAAGATGTAACATTTTCATACAAAAGGGAGAAAGTACAAAATTCCTTAGCAGTGAGCTTTGTTGGTAGAAGGAAAGGGAAAAAAGCTAATGACTAGAAAGGAGTGCCTAATGTGAGTATGAGACAGTTTTGACCAAGAGATCAGAGAGCTAGAGAGAGACAAACAGCTCATACCGGCAAATGACTCCAAAAGTCACCAGGAAAGCCTCAGAAGTTGGATCTGACATAGTCTGAACAGCACCAGTGAGGATTCAGGTATGCTTTCTGGTGAAGGAACATGCCTACAAGAAAGTACACCTGCCTAGGCAAAGCAAGATGAGAAAGGACTAATGTGAGAGAAGAGGAACTTGAAAAGCAAGGAAGACCAAAATTATAAGTCCCTCTGGTTTACACTTCAACAAATCCTCCATCACACTATGCATCCTAATCTGACAGCACACTTGTGGCAAACTCAATTGCTGCAGAATAAGTTAAATATTTCTGAGTAGAAGTGATTGGGTAACTTACTAGATAAGAAATAAAACCGTAACTCTTGTTAACTAGAGGTTGCAGTCCCAAACTACTTTCCACACAATATTGGAAACAAAAATGAGAAAGGTAAATCCTACAATAAAAAGACAGCAGTGAAGGAAAGAAGATTCATTCAAAGCCTCCTTGCACTAAGAAAAAGCCTAGTTAAAAACAGTCATATTATTATGTAAATCATAAAATATGAAATGCTTTATACAATCATGATTTTGTTCTATTTACCTACTTATATATCTATCTCTCATACTGTTTTACTGTGATATACATCAAACACCAGAGTTAATGCAAACAGAATTTGAGAGATTCCAGAGATCAGACCCAGTCAGAGATCAATTCTGAACAATGACTCAATGACTGTTGACTCAATTGTAATTTGAGTCCACATACTAGTGTGGAAGTCTAATGATTTAAGACCTTGCAAACTAGCAGCTATTAACACATAAGTGCATTTCAATTGACTTCTGATTTTCTCTAATGATGAAAGGTCTGCATAGTAGTAGCTATTAACATTTTAGAGCATTTCCAATTGATTTCTGATCCTCTGTCTTGTTTTTGAAATATATGGATAAAGGAGTGGGTATTAAATCATTGCTCCTAACCCATCAGTGAGAAATAACTTGGAGTTACTTGCCGAAGAGTTAAAAAGAATGGCACAGTCAGTAACCTTTCTCCTCTGAACACTTAATGTAAAGACCACAATTTTTTTATGTTCATCCAGAATTATGCTTATATTCAATGGAAAAATAGTAGAATAATTTTTGCCTTCTTGTAGTGTATATTGTTTCATTCTGTTCCAGTGACCTCTTCAGCACACTATGTTAACTAACTAAGCAAATAGAGTTCGGACTTTTTATCACTTTTCCTCATTTTTCAGCTAGTTATTCATAATTCTTTTGATTACCTTCAGCATTTATTAACAGCAACAACATTTTCTTTTTCATATGCCTTTTTATTTCTCATTTACTGGACCCACTAAAGTAGTGTCAGTTTTTTCCTAATCTCTAGAGCTTCAGGGCAAATGAAGAGAGTGGAGTGAGATGAGACCAGGAAGGAACAAGAGCCAGGTTAAGTGAAGTCTTATAAACATTTAAGAAATTTGGTCATTATCTGAGAAGCTATAGGATACTGTTGATGACTTTTAAGCACTGAAGTGACACAATCTTATTTCTGTCTATGGTTGTCTTGTCTTCTTTTCCTCTTCTCCATGTGACCACCTTAAGTTTAAGCACTGCTTTGTATTGCTATCTTATCATTTACATTTCCTGGCTATTTCCATTAAACAAACTATATTTTTTAATAAAAGAAAGGGGTGGCCACTTGTACAAAAATATCTTTGTTGGGAAACACAAGCACATCTATAAAGATAGCCCTGAGGTGGTTCATAAAAGCATGTTTATTTGTAAATCATGCTTCATCAATGAAGAAGTAAAAGAGGGGAACATCTTTTAGATACACTCTTTTATTACAACTTGATATTATATTTGTAAAAATCATGCATAGACAGGTATGCATAGAATAAAAATAGTTTCAGCAATATGTTTGATCTATATATTTGTGCTTTTGATAATAAAAGAAGCCTCATTTATTTAGGGATGTGGAGGTTAGGGGGTTTCTGGTGTTCTTTTAACATCTGGCAATGGTAGCATTCCTTCTTTTGAACTTATTTTCAATTAAGAACAAAAGAGAAGTCATCTAACTTATGAGGGTATCCCTCTGGTTTCAGTTGCCATTTTACATGAATCTAACAGTGAAAGACTGTTGGTGGTTATGTCTTTCCCAGGAGAAGAAGTGAACAGACAGCTATGCAGAGATGCCATCTTCCCTATTCCTGTGGCCTGTGATGCCCCATGTCCAAAGGACTGTGTGCTTACTGCATGGTCCTCATGGTCCTCCTGCTCACACACCTGCTCAGGGAAAACCACAGAAGGGAAACAGATACGAGCACGCTCCATCCTGGCCTATTCAGGTGATGAAGGTAAGGCCACCAGCTTCAGAAGCACTTAGGTTCCTTTGGGAAATTGGCAACATTTATTTTTACTTTGTGTAGCCTGAATAAGGTGATACTCTATGAAATTAACTAATAGAAATACAACAATCAAAGGACATTTAATATCTGTTGATGTGATGGGCAGTTTGATTCTGTTCTGTTTAATTTTAAGATGAAAGATCTTGAAATGGATCTTTAGTAAAGGAGGAAAGACTTAAAAATAAAACCATTTTATCTTTTTCCATTCTCCTAGTAATTCAAGCTCTTCTCCCTCTAAAATCTTAAACCTGTGGGGGGAAAAAAATCTGAAAATAGCTCCCCAAATTTGAGACATTTCACTGATTTTTTTTCCTCTGTTTTAGCAGTAAGTTTTACCCTTTGAAATCACATTCTAACATCTCATAAAATAGCCATATATGTTCAATAAGAAAATTTATTTTACATCAACACCAGCATGGCTATAACTTGTATGAAATTTACATGCATTTTCTACCATTAATGTTTGTGAACACAGGCTCTGAGATCCACAGGTCTTATACATTGATTATGTTCACTTTTAAAATATGTTGCTTTTAAATCACTTCACCCTATTGGGTGAATAAAGCAAGTTTGTCACATATTCAAACTTCACCTGCAAGTCTTATTGCCAAGAAATACAAGGCTCTTAGTAGTTGTCTCTCAGGTTAATATCCAAATGCCAATTTTGCCTTTGTATTGCTGTGTGAGATAATGTAACAGTTGTCATTCTGGGAAAAAAGCACAGGAGTAAAGAAAACATAGAAGTAAATCAAACTCTTTCACAGGCATATTCAGTCTCAGGAATATAGATACAGTATTGAAATATTATCAAGCTAACTATCCCTTCTCTTTTTTACATTTATCACTGATAAACAATGATTTCTATTTGTACTGAGCATTCTATTAACCCCCACATATAAATCAATTTCAAGGGAATTCCTCTGTTAATGAAGTACTTTAGTAATAAGTACCTGATATTATTCTGATTTAACCAAACTTACTGCTTGTGTATGAAATAACTGTGCAAACATGTGACCTTAAACATGAGTGTTTTCATGAGCAAAAAAATTTACATGTAAAAATTGTCAGAGTATGGGAAATTTTAGAATCTTCTTCCTAAGATCCAAAAATGTTTTCCTGTTACCTTAATATAAATATAACTTCTTGTTACAAAAAGTTTCTATTAGCCTGGGGTCTGTGGCTCACACCTGTATCCTAGCTACTTTGGTGGCTGAAATCAGGAGGATTGAGGTTGGAAGCCAGCCTGGCCAAATAGTTCATGAGACCCCCTGCCATCGCCAAAAAATAAAAACATAAAAAGCAAATGGACTGGGACTGGAGGTTTGGCTCAAGCGGTAGAGTGCCTGCTTTGCAACTGTGAAGCCCTGAGTTCAAAACCCCAGTCCCACACACACACATACACAAAATAGAAACTTTTAGAAAGAAAATTAAGTTTCTTGTGTTGTAAAACAATAACTTTATCCTCGTATAGATTATATTCAGACTTCAAACTCTATCAGCTCAGATTATGTCTTACACTTCATTAAAATTAGATCTGTGTTCACCCTGCCTCCTGTAAATCCATTATACTCTGCAGACACTTGCTGTATGACTAGTAATGAGTGACTTTTCACCCCTGGGTTTCATGGCAAGGATTTTGCTATGCTTGCAAAAACTCGACGGATCGTTATTTCTGTAGACACGATGCTTCACACTAAAAGGTCATGAAATGTTTTAAAGGAAGAAATTTGTAATTGCCCTTTGATATGTATCACTCACTCAATTTGAAAGGGTAGGACTTTGATAACTTTTAATTACATCTAGTAGCTGCATCATACTCAAGTAATGCTGGAAAATTACAGATGTTTATGCAATAAATCATAAGGGCATATATTCAAAACGTAATTTTAAATAGAAACCATGGTGGAAGCTATGTCAGTACAGAATGAGCTATGCGTTTTCATTAAAAATGTTTACAAAAAGTGGTATAATTGTATCAAATATTTAATGAGAATTTATTTCTCAAAACATTTATTGAATATCTATTACTTGCTGGACATTGAAAAATATTTTTTTCTTACTTGAAATAAGCTGTTTTTTGAATGAGTTAAGAACTACATCTGCAAGAAATTTTCAATTTTGTTTTCCTGTGAATTAGATAGCACTTCACTATTTCACACAAAATTGGATAATTTTTCCTCAAAATTAGTGCTTTTTGAATGTCATAAATGTTCTTAGTTCTCAATAGATCGGAAAATTATGGTGATAACTTTAAAGGAAAATGCCACAGTAGGAAAATGACATGTGAAGTGTTTAGACATGAAATTATACATTTTTCTGATGTGCTAACTTAGAGGACAAGTCCATGTGCAAAGCACATTTGGATTTACAAAATAAATGTTGCAACCTGTTCTTCCCTTATCTTTGGTCAAATGTCATCAGGACATTCAGCAGTGTGAAGATTCAGAGCCAGGCAGAGGTGTGGAAAGTTTCTATAACATGAAATGGTTACTGTAGGGTGTCAGAGCACAAGTATGGTAAAGCGTGCACCTGTGGATGCAGCAATGTAGATGGCAGGGGCAGACAGATACAGAAGTAAATATAAACATGTGTGAATATGTAGATATAGTTATATAGCATTATGTACCTATCAAGTAGTATTTGCCATATTCACTGAAAAGACATGAAACAGCAAGATTCCAACAGCACTAAGTGCATATGGCACTCAGATCTTGGTGTGTGTGTGTGTGTGTGTGTGTGTGTGTGTGTGTGCACTTGCACATGCTGGGGATAGATTCAGGGATTTGTGCATGCTAAGCATGTGCTCTACCACTCCCAGATCTTGATTTCTAAGACCATTCTCCAGTAAAAGAAAGCAGTGTTGGTATCCTAGACCAGAGGGGGACCTGAGGCCAGGGACTCCCAAAGAGCTAGGCCCAGCCCCTTGCCCAAAATCAAATAGAAAAAAAAGTAATGATGAAGTAGGAAAAGGAGTTTTAATCAGTATAGCTTATGCCAGGAAGACCTGGGGACTAGCAGGCATCCTCAGTCCTATTTTGGGGGCTACTGACATGAGCTTCAGGTTTAAATGGGAATAATTTGCACAGAGAGCAAGAGGTATGCATAATTAAAGGGTTTTGGTCAAACTGTAGTCTGGTTATCATTGTCTCTTGTCTGGTTCTATGAGGACCAGACAGCTATAGCTTAAGGGAAAAATTTGGTTCCATTAGCTTAAGGGGAAAATTCGTTTCCATTCTAGAATAATTGCTCCTATGTTTAGGAGGATAGTCTCAGTTAAGGTCATAGGGTAATTGCTTCTGCTTAAGGAGCGAGAGTCCCATCCTGGAGTGATATGTATATAAGGAATCTTCCTAGAATCTTGAAAATATAGCTACTCTTTTCTTGGTGCCTTCAGTCTTAAAGAGGGTCAACAGAAGTTAGGTAAATTTGGTGCCAATTAACCTTGTATTATCAGTTTTTAGGCAGACACTCCTTAAGTGATTAATATGGGCGAAGAGCTGAGCAGGAATCTGGCCCAAAGGTTAGAGTAGCAAAAGGAGACAGATTCAGAATGGAGGAGAGATACTTAGCTTGCTTTTAGTTATCCACTGGGCATCCGCAGACCCAAGCGAGGAATCAATGCATTTAGCAAAAGCAACTTCTAAGACCCTGTTATAGGACTGTGACTCCTTGGAGAAATGGCTGCTTCCAGAGCCGGGGTAGAAAAATGTGCTAGAAAGTAAAGAAAAAGAGAATGTGTCAAAAGCCCACAGAAGCATAAGCCAGCTTGAAAAGTCTCCCACTGGTCGTATTTGCAAACTATGTGAATACCAAAATAACAACGATCCTAACAAATCATAAGCCATTAAATAAGAAGACGTGAATTCATTTGAATTAATTAGTTAATTAATTAATTTAAGTTTGATGAAGAGCATTATATTTACATAGTCTCAAGTATCTTCATTTTGGAAAACTGTGACAGACAACACTTAGTCTTAATCCAGTGATCAATGTTAGCATCATCAGTAATGGAGCAAATCAAAATCTTGTCCTCAATGCAATACAATGAGAACAAGACATTACTTCCATGGTATTCTGCAAAAAAATCCATATTTAGAATCTTACCAGAAAAAAAAAACAGACAAACCTGACTGAAATATGACCTATAATCTTCCAAAGTGTCTAAAGTATAAAAATTAAAGAAAGACAATGATTGAAAGGGACTAATAATGAACAGGAGACCTAAATGTGACACTTGATTCTAAGCTAAATCCTTGTGTTATGAACTATCTTTTGGAACAGCTGGCAGACTTGAATGGGGCCTGAGGAGAGATAGTAATAATTAATCGTGTGGATAACCTGATTTCCTGATTTTAAATATTGAATGTGTTTATGTGTAGGAGAATGCCTTTGTTATAGGAAATACACACTAAAATATTTAAGGTAATGAGCATCATTTCATCAACTTATTCTACATGGTTCAGGAAAAAATATTAGTACTTGTATATATTAATTAATACTATCATATATTAATATTAGTATAATTCAGATATTAGTTCAAAATTTTCTGAAAAAGAAAATAATAGAATGAATTGATATAAAATTACTTTCTACACCATCTTGAGTATCATTATTTAACCTAGTATTAGGCATAGACAAAAATAGTCATAAAGTGCTTCTTACTGAATTTTCATTGGGAAAGCAAATTACAATTTGTAGCAACTAGAGTGAAAATACTGGAGAAGACAAAAGTAATTCTTTATATATATAAAAGCCTTTGTGTGTGTGCATATGTGTATATGTTTGTGTGTGTGTGTGTGTGTGTGTGTGTGTCTGTTACTTTCTACTTTTTCTGGTTAAATAAAATTTGCAATTTTCCCTTGAGGTAAGAATCTTCCTTGTATTGAGTAAACTATAGTATTTATCCCAAAAGTTACTTTAAGGTTATGCTAGGAAGTTCTAAAAGGAAGCAATTTTTATACTTAAATTTGGCATGTGTTTAATATGAGTGGTATGTTGAATATAACCCAATATTAAAAATTGATTTTAGGTTTTTAGCCTTCTTGATAATTGAACCCCTCAACAAATTTCATTTAAAAAGGAAAAACTTGTTCAAAATAACAACTTCCATTAATTCTCATCATATAATTACAAAGTGAGAGAAGGTTTATTTTTGCAAAGTTCAGAATGACCTGGTGTATAACTTCAGCTGCCAAATACCAATATGCCTTTATGCACAGAAAGAATGGATGCAGATTGAAGTAGAACTGTGCCAACTTTTCCTCAAATAATTAGTCATCTTCAAAAATCATTTTATAATACAAATGATGGAGGAGATTAATATTTATATTTTAACATAATTTAATTTTTACAGCTAACTAATTTTAATTCTAAGAATCAGGAATGATTCATATTTCCTAGAGGAATTCGAGGAACCCAGGATCCAGTATGTATATATGTGTGAGTGTATGTATATATATATATATGTATAATTCTGATTTCTAAAAAAATACTAGCACTTCCCATTCTTCCACTACTGACCTTGAAAGGGGAACTCTATTTCAGTATGTCCCTACAAGTCTCCCACCCAGGACTTATATAAGCTACACAGTGGGAAGTCTTCTACCTCTATCTGCAAGGAGAAAAGGAGAAATGGGGCTATGTGGCAGCAGAATCCCCTGCATGCTCTGAAGCTAATGCTGTGATTCACTTCTCCCAAAGTACCTTGCCAAGGTGCATTTCACCCAGCATGGCCTACTACCAAAAGGATTTGGCTACAGCAACAAGCAATGTTACAAGCACTTCATAGCCTCTTCATAATGTATGCCCAGTCCCCTTCCTTATCCTTGTTGCCAGTGACTTTGCTGCGTGAACTCCATACTCTAAATGACTGCATCAATATTGGTAATTCCCAAAGTCATACCTGCTGGCATGCCTTTGCTTTTATTTATCTTTTCTTCTGCTAAGGTAAAATTCTCCTTTCCTTCTCTTCCTTCTCAGAACTCTGCTTCTCAAAATTTAAAACTTATCTCCATATGTCCTTCTACCTAAGATATTTTTCATTCTCCAAAAAGTAATGGAACCTTCTCTCCATGCTAATTATACTAATTGCCTTTCTTACATAATTATTATATTCCATGTAGAATCATACTTATTTATGTGTTTGTCTTACCCATCACCCATTACTCTTCCAACCATATTATAATATCATTTAGAGAAGCCAAAGCTATTACTAACCCCTCTGGGTCACTTGAAGCATCCAGATAAACACTACACATTACACTCAATACCTGTATACTGAGTACTTGTTCAGAAGAATGTTCTTTTTAAAAATCTATCACAATCAACTATAAGGACACCAATGCCAGAACCAGCAACACCATAGCTTTGATGAAATGCATCCTAACAAATATTTTATGGGGTTGAAATGGGATGGAAAAGTCATCCTTTCATTTCTAAGAGAGGAGTTTTACATAATAGTTATTAATTTATATGAACATAGAAGTTTACTTATATAATAGAATTTTAAATCCTTCTCTTTGATGGAATGATAGAAAATCTAAATAGTAGTATTGATACAAAGCTTATATTTTGTATGTAGAAGGATTTAAAAAAATAATACACTTATTGCTAATTTTGTCATAGGTCAAATTTTATAATTTCCCCAGGACTACAGAAATATTACCAGAGGTCTGGAATTAGATCTTCCCATAAATAATAGATACATTCAATATTATATTTATCAATTTTTCTGTCATAAAATTATTCCCCAAACAACAGGACAATGCTAGAATGACTTATTACTCAAGACCACACTTTCAAGGAAGCCATATTGTTGTTATATTTGAGACCACATAAGGCTTATCTGTGCAAGGATACTGACATCAGATCCAAACTGCTGCTGTAGCTTTACTGTGAATTAGGGCAAGAAAACAAATAGCCTTTCTGTCTCTAAACTTAACAGTTCTCTTGCAGTTCCTTGACATATTATGCTGATGTTGTGGAAGTTTTTCTTATCATTTTCCCCCAAAGCCAACCAGTCAATTCCAATGTCAAAAACAATACAGAGTTTTAAAATGAAATTTTAAATAGCTTATACTGACAGTGAAAGTAGTGTAGGGAAAGGAATATGCTTTGTGTAAATCAATAATTTTAGCCTTAAGTATAAAAGAAATGTTAAAATAATTACATATATATAAAATCTATAATTAATGGGTGTTTGAGAGTTAAGATTAAATAAACCCAGCATCTCAGGGAATTGAAAATAGGAGCACTCACTTACTTCTTCCCAATCCAATTAGCGTGTTTTAGGACTCTTTTCTCTTCAAATCCTGAACTTCTTTGTGAGACTGCCAGGGTCATCAAGCTGTATGGTGGAAGTTAGGATATACACTGTGACAGATGTTTTCATTTTCATGAAGCAGGAAACGTTAATGAAATAGTGCTTAGTGCAAGTTATTCTGATGTTGAGACCAACTCAACACTGCAAAAATGATTCTAAATTGATATTAAGTTGTCATGTAAACTTCCAATTGACATTTTTGCTGAATAGAGGGGTGTCCTTAAACCTAAGAGATTTATGGGTGTGTCCACAGGCATCAGATTGTCAATAAAATGATCAACAAGTTCTTACCTTTAACAATGTAAGTCTTTATTTTCATAATTGGCAACAGAAATAGCACAGTTGCAAGAAAATGGGATCTTCAATTCCCTCTAATTATAGTAGTCACGCCATTTGGGCTGATCCACTTAATATGTTTTAACTCATATCAGTTATGGGCACAAAATGAGGCCCCACTTATAAAGAACTTACAGTGGAGCTAACATGTAAAAAGGAGTTCAAGAATGATAACTCCCACACTGTATTCTATCGATTAAAAATGCACGTCTTGCCCTCTAACAACCCTAGAGTTATTTCATCTTACATTGTATACATTTTTAAATCATTGTGGCCAACCAACAGTTATGATATAGTTATCATTGCTTGTATATATGAACTTTATTGTTCTTGCTGGAAATACCAATCTGCACCTCGAAAACTAGGCGATCAAAAGCAGCTGAAAGCCATTCAAGGAAGGAAGATACATTCTAGTCGCTTGCTTAAGATTTTCATTGGCACCTTCTGGAGAAATTAAGATTGCAACAGAATCAAAACCTGTAGACAAATACCAGTATTCAGAAACATAATTCTGGAAATAAAGAAGAATTCTTTCATAAAAAATCTTGTATCACCAACATCTTTCATGTCACAGATGAAGGTATTATGTAGGAGAACACAAACTTCCATGACTGAATTAAAAACTGACTCAAAGATTTGAACTCTGAAGACACAGAACTTTTGGAATAGTTTTCCTTTAATGTATGCAAAGAGTGACATTTTTAAAAAAACATGTAATTAAATCACAGAAAGCTATCTCAAACTTACAAACAATTGGAATTGAGCAAAAAGCATTATATGATTGCTTAAATTGCAACTATTTCTTTTTCTTTAGGACACACAAAGTGATGGTGCATTACACAGCCAATGACATCCTAGATCTGAAGAAATGTCATATTATCATTACTCAGTGGCTTTTCCAATAATGCTGGAAGATCATAAAGTAGTCATTCAATGTTAACATTCCTGTTTCTAATTGTTCTAAAACCTAATACATTAAATTAAGCAGTATTTAAAAGCCTGTAATTAAGACTGGCAATTTTGGGGAAAATATTTTAAAACATACTCAATTTCCTTCATCCAGAGTCTAATGTGCCTGTTTCTTCTGGTTAGCAACCACATGGGCTTCATTGAACTCCGTGTTCAATTTCTCCAGAAAAATAGAAATGGACTCCCTTTAAGGTCCTACGTATTCTTCAAAATCAAGTGTTATATATATCACATGGTACGCATTTTAAGTTAGCTCATGCCACCTCAGGTAAGATTAATATGTAATTTGCCTTCTTAGCAGTGTGCTTATAACATACTGCGTACTCAGTAACTGGTAGGTATCATTGCTGTTAACCGTGTTAATGCCAAGGAACAGAGACTGGTAAGGTTACTATTGACTCTATTTCTAATGAGCTATCATTGTCCATTTTTACAGGTGGAATTCACTGTCCCAACAGCACTGCTTTGCAAGAGGTGCGCAGCTGTAATGAGCATCCTTGTACTGTGTACCACTGGCAAACTGGTCCCTGGGGCCAGTGCATTGAGGACACCTCAGTGTTGTCCTTCAACACGACTACAACTTGGAATGGAGAGACCTCGTGCTCTGTTGGCATGCAGACACGAAAAGTCATCTGTGTGCGCGTCAACGTGGGCCAAGTAGGACCCAAAAAGTAAGGACTTCAGAATGACAACAGTAAATCCTGTGGTCAGCCATGCAGAGGATTGGCTCAGGCTTTACTTGCTTCATGAAATGGAGCATTTTGATGCTTGTCATACCTGTCTTCAAGAGTAAGATTTGTTTGTTTTGAATGTCAGCTGCTGAGCCATAAATTCTATAGAAATTTTTCTATCTGGTACCCAGTTTCTGTTTTATGGTAGCACTCTGCTTTTATTAAGCTGGTGAGACAGTGAAAGAAGTGCCTGCTCCAGGCCTGACTGATCAATAACAACAGTATACAGTCCTAACACTGCATGTCATCCATGACCTGTACATCCGTAGGCTGCACAGGCTGCCAATCTACTTTAATTGGATAATTGTCCTCTATAATCTGCCTTTCATTTCCTCTAGAAAATAATATATCAAAAATACTGAAGATAATCTTACATCTTTCAGTGGTTAAAAATGAGTAAGTCATTTACTCAAGAGAGAGCCTTGGGATAGGATGTGTATTATGATAAGTGTAAAAGCTATCAGTGTCTCATGGTGGCTAAGAATACTGTAATAACAAGGCAAACTAGTTGCTAGAGGGGAGGACAAAGAACCAGAGAGCTGACATACTACATGTGCCTTTTGAGGAAAAAAAAAGTAGTGGCATCACTGGAACTCGGGTGATCAGTTCCTAAGGAATATTAATAAATCAAATAAAAACATATACTCCTTTGAAGGGAGAATAACCTATTTTACTTTTTGAAACTTAGATAACATAATCACAATGTTTTTTTAAAAAATTCAAATTGTCTTAGACATGTGGAACCTAAAAATTGAAGCCACCCAGCTTTTGCATGGATGTAAATGAGGTCTCATATAAGCCAAGTGGCCAAATATTGCATGATATTAAGCTTCCTACCTAATTCTGGCATTGCTTTTCAAAGTCTAATGAAAGTAGTTAATGAGAAAAAATATTAATGTACTCAATAAATGTTAAAATTGTTACTTTTTTCTTAAGAATTAAAGATACTTCTTAGGGATCCAAGGAAATAAGAATAATTTATCTGATGCCTGGAAAACTCCAGGGAGATAAATAAAATCACATTCTGACTTATTTTTGTTTGACCAGGGTTCCAGATATTAGAGATATTTAGCCCCACACTTTGTAAGTATCATTTGAAATTTGAAAACATATTAAAATATATGCCAAAAGACATTTGAATAAATTGAGAAAACATTCCAAATGCTGAATGGGCAGCCCCAAACCAATGTTTTTAAAAAAATTATGCTAAGGTTGTGATGAATCTGACCTGAGAAATCAATGTGCAGTGAATTGCCGTTCAGTGGTGGTGACAGCAAAAGTGAAAGTCGCCAGTCCTGAAGGGTCCTGGTTCTTGCTGAAATGAGAACAGAGATAGAAATATTCACTAGAGAGGTTCACGACCAGCCCCTCATGGTGCAGGATGAGAGTTTATACTGATGTTAAAAAGAAAAGAGAGAGAGAGAACCTCACTCTTTTACCTGTTTTACAGTTAATCACATTTCAATCACTTTGCTGGTGACACTTTCCTCACACATATTATAAAATATTTTTGCTGGGTGATGGCTGTACATGTGTACAAGCTTACATGTGAACACACCCTGCTGGATTTAACGTTATTAAATCATTTGGTAGGAAGGGTATCCTAAAACCCCATGTCAGGCCACCACAATAATCTATTAAACATTTGCTTTGCCTTTGCAGTTTTTATTCAATGACCTGGATACATCTATAGATTTACTAAGTCAAATGGATTTACTTGCCCTTTAAAATTCTGGAACATTCAGCCAAGTACTGTGAATTCAAAAGAAAATATTCTTGCCCTTCTTCCTAAATGCTAGGTTAAATTCAATGAATGCTTTCCAATACTGGTCATTTGAAACAAAAATGCAAATAGAAACCTTGTTTTAAACTCCTCTTAATAAAATAGATTACTGTGTGATGGTAAAATCAATGTTATTGATCTTATCTATCCTCCCAAGTAACAAACTTCAACTCCTATCACATCTGTTTAATTTGACCTTGAATAAGATTTGAGGGGGAAATCAATTCCTTGATTTAAACCACAAACACTAAATACAAACAGTACAAGGAAGAAAAGGAGCATGTTGACTGAACCAATTGCCTCACCGAAGGAAGTCTGAATTCATTTTATTGGACGTAATCTAGGCTGTATAATTTATCTTTGTGTGTTTCTTTAATGACTTTGTTGTTAGTAATTTTGTTCTCCACAGTTCGCCAAATATCTTGCTGCGGCTATTTCTAGACAAAAAGGATATTTGGAGGTTGTCAATGATAACATTGTAAATTCCATTGATTTACTTACAGCTAATATCTAAAGATCATGCAGTTGAGCAATGCCCTCCTAGTGTTAAAATTATAAAATTGCCTCATTGAAAAGGAGTGCATTCAATAATAATTACTGACCAATGATTTCAAGTCATCAAAGAATTAACTGGATTATATATGAGATTTGCCATAAGATGTGTCCGGTTTAAGAAGTGCAACTTAAATTATAGTTCTAATCATTTAAAATCTAAATTGTAGCAGTACATCAACTTCAAGATCACATTTAAATTTCTTTGTCAACCATAACTTTGCACAGTATAGCAATTAGGAAAATCCAAATTTATACTTAACATAAATCAGGGAGAGTATTTCTTTTTTCAAATTTTGAATCCTACATATGTTTTTAAAATCCACTTCCAAATGAATCTAATTTTTAAAAAATAAGACAAAAGACAGTAAGTATATATAGAATTAAATACAATGATATATGTGTATGAGAAAGGATGTATAGACATTATTATAATATATATCAAAAACGAAGTGTCAGCAAAATACTACAAATAAATTATGGGAAACAGATTGATGGGTTTTTTTTTCACTCAGTTTTTTATCACTTATAGTTCAGTTCTGAAAATCTGACTCACTTATTTGATAGAAGATAATCTCTCTTGACCTGCAAAAATAGCAAGGCTTCTCCCATGTAGACTATTTTAAAGGCCTATTTGTTACTGATCTGCCAATTTATTATTGATTAACTATTTTTATTTTATTTAGCTACTATTTCTCCTTCAAAAAAAAGATGCCACAGCTTATAAAAAAATTAAAATATTTTAAATCTCACAAGTTAAAACTATGGACAAAAATAAAAATTGAAAATATAAACATGAATAATAACAAGATATAAGAACTTGAAACTAGCTAAGAAGCAGAATTGTTTATCATAATGGTTTTTACACTTTTATTGTTTTATTATCTGTTATGAAATATTAGCTATTTGTACAAAATTTTTGACAGATACTGTATAAAGAATAACTTTACTTTCATTCGATAAATATTTTATAAAAAAAAGAAAGTGTAGAACAACCTGGAAAGTTAAAATAGCCAATAAGTCTATTTAATTAGACAAAGTTATTGAATTGAGTCCTTAAATTGGTAATTTGACTTCCCATGAAATTACTTATAATAGAAAACACATTCATTAATGGAGAAACTATTGTAAGGGGAGTGGTGTAGTTGTTATATTTTCTTCTAGATACTATAACTGCTATTTTTAAATCTACACATTCTGCCTAAGAAGCCTTATTGAGGTCCGGTTTGAAAGAATTAGTTTAGTTGAATAGTTGTTAAAGGTAGTAAGGCTCCTGGGAGTTAAATAATATAGACTTATGACTGTTTTGCAGTTTTAGCAATGTAAATTCTAAGGAAATGAAATTACATGGTTTTCTGTCTTACTACAGAAGCTGAATAATTTTCTTTTGCTTTTTGTAGGTGTCCTGAAAGCCTTCGGCCTGAGACAGTGAGGCCATGTCTGCTTCCTTGTAGGAAGGACTGTTTTGTGACACCATATAGTGACTGGACACCATGCCCTTCCTCCTGTAAAGAAGGTATGGTCTGCAGAGTTCTGAAAACCTTTCACCAGAAAATTCATCCCACAGGACTTCCAAATTCTCCTGGCAGAGCGATGTTTGCAAGTCTTGTGTAATTCAGGTTTGGCATGAATGCCATAAAATTTTGGTTTCCTTCTAGAAATAACATTATTTTAGAGTATTTGACAGGTAGTGAGTTTTACGCCAAAAACTGGCTTGAAATTTTATGATGCGGATCAAATTATAAGAATTCTAGGCTATTAATAATTCTTATTTTTCATTAAGTCTGAAAGAACACATATTGGTTTTCTAAATTTTGAAAAGAGTAGACAATGATCTCATTAGTACACATGGCTTTGTACCAACTTAATGGCAAGAAATAGGGTGAAGCCACATTTACTGAAGCATGTGGCCCCAGGATGGGAACAAAGGAAAGAGAAAAAGGTTAAATTGTCTGCCAACACTAACTGTGTCATGAGGCATTACAGGTTGAGTATTTGTTCCCAATTTGGTTAGATTTTGCTTTTGTGATTTATGGACATAAAAGTGTCCTGGTAGAGCCTTGATAATTCATTACTCACCCTCCAGGATAGGGTCTTTTCTCGTTGCTGCTGAGAAAGTAACGATATTCTCTGGGTGACTTGTACAAAGCTGAGGAAATTTTCTCTCAGCATCACAAATGACATTATCTTTTATTCCTTATTTTATTCTCCCAACATATAGAGATAGTGTTTCTTAAATTTCCTTTATGATTTCATTTTATTTGTGCTTCTTTGCTCTCCCTAGAAAGATCCATTAAAAATCAACTTCTAGTTTAAAAAGCAACTATTACAACTGCTAAAATGTATTTAAATCCTTCAGATAGTGTAATTTTAATAACATTGTTTTACAGTGTGATTAACATTTTATACATAAATGCTAATACATAAAACGTGTTTTAAGTATTAACATTTATATTTAAATGTGACTATTTATTGCAAAATAATCACAAGTCTGTATTATTTAACTCCCAGGAGCCTTTCTCCTTTTAACAAGAACTATTCAACTAAATTAATTCTTCAAACTGGATCTCAGTAAGGTTTCTCAGGCAAAATGTATAGACTTAATAATAGCAGTTATCTAGAAGGAAACATAACAATTATATAGTCATCCCTTACAATAATCTCTCCATTAACAAATATGTGTTTTCTAACATGTTTTGTAAACCTGGAACATAAGCTTATTTTTGTGTATGTGTTTGTTTTTGAAACATGTTCTTACTATATTGCCCAGGCTGGTCTGGAATTATGGAAACTTCCCACCTGTTGTGGGAAGTTGCTAGCTGAGATACGAGACACTGATGCAATTTAGCAGGAAGCAACGTTTTATTTTGCCAGCATAGGCCCCGCAGATTCATGTCCAAAGGCTGAGCCCCAAGAACAAAGGGGTCTCACCTTATATACCCTTGCAATCAGGTTACAGGAAAAAAAGAGCAAGGTCTAATCCATAAATGGTTATATTACTACTATAGGCTACTTTACCTAGTGCTATGTAACTTTTCCCCTTCCCCAATGTTATGTGACCTTCCTTGTGTTCAGATTTCTCAGGTTTTATCTCTCTGCTATACTATCCCTACCTCCCTGCTACTTTATCAGGACTCAGGCCTATCTGCTTTCTTTTGATCCTCCTCCTTGCTACATACCAAGTGCTGAGGTTATAGGAATGGGCCACCACCTCCACATGCTTCTTTTTATGCTTTTGCTATTGAATACACTTGAAATATCAAATAAAGTTATACCACAAACTGAGCAAGAATAAAAACTTTTCATTTTCAAAGTCTTTTATGGTTCTCTGTAGTTTTTTGGAGGGGTAGGAGTTATAAGTATTAGCTTTTTAAAAATGTTAATGGCATAAACTTACTAATAAAGCAGTGTTCTTATATGATTTCTTTCTAGACTTTTTTCTCTTATTACTTTATTTTCTTGAGAGCCATATGAAACATAATATTGTTTGGTTTGGTAATAATCAGCAATAGAGAATACAATCTTGTAGGCTAGTGTTTCTATGGTAATTATTGGTTATTCACCACTTTAGTGAAACAAGTTATGCATTGCATGGAATTGATGCACTTGAAAATTGTATTTTTGATGTTTTAGTACTTTACATTTTGCATCAGAATGAGATGAGGTAATTTATTAATAATTCCAAAATATATGTTACCTACATGTTAAACATGTTAGTTATATCCAAATTAAGAATTTAACAAAATTTTAAGTAAAATATTTAAAAGTGCAAAAAATACTTTGTCTTTTCCTTATGTTGAATATTTCTTTGTATTGTCTACAGTACTGTAGAATAAAAGTTGACTTAGTCTAAAGTATTTAAAAGAAATAAAACAAAAAGGCAAAGAAATTTTCATTAAACTGATTCTAGAGTAGTCACTCATAAAAATAATAAATCAGATAAATCTATCTTATTTCTTTAGACCTTTATTGAAAATAATTTGGGAAACTAGAATATATTTAAGAGTTAGGAACCATTTTTATAGCCTATGAACTTTCTTCTGTAAGTCCATATTTTTGGGGGTGATGGGGTACTGGACATCAAACCCAATGCCTCACACATACTAGGCAAATGTACTGGCACTGAGTTACAACTGTAAGTTCTTACAAAAGCATTTGTTATGCAGTGTATATGTCTGGAAAGGAAATTTTTTTAAAAAAAGAAAAGAAGCAATATCTTACTCATAAAAATACCATAATTGAAAATCAAATAACATGATTTTAAATGTGTGGTTTTTCTAGTAGAAAAGATTATTTTGTGTTTGATCATTTATAAAATAAAAAACTGAGGAACTGTTTAAGTAGGTAGATGAGAGAATAAATAGATGGTAAATGCTACATATGTGTTAACTAAATTATTTTTTGTACATATACATAAATACTTATTGAATCACTTAGTTATTGATTCCTGTTTGTGTAACTAGCAATAAGATAGTCTTGTACAAAAACACAGTCCCTGACTTCCAGGAAGCTTTTAAATTCATTTAAAATATACTACTCTTGTATACAGACCAGATATTGTAAGTCTTACATGATTCAATAACAAGATTTAGTGGTTAAACGGAAACAGCTCTAGAGGAGAGGCAAGAAGAATTATTGTGAGAATAAATATTGAGGAAAAATCTTATTGAAAAGGAGGTATAAAATATATTTTTTTAAGAAGGGACCATATAACTTACAAATCAAGGTCAGAGGTGTCAGGAAAGCCTCAGATGAACATAAGAAAAGTATGTTTTCAAAGGAGATAGCCCCACTGGAGCCCAGAGTGTGCATAAGAAAGTAGGCAGATAAAGTTAGAAAGGAGAATGGGAGCAAGTAATTTCAGAGTGAATTGAACTTGCTTGATATATAGCCAGACACACTTTCTGTTTAGGGACATAGAAATGAGTGGAGAATTTCATGATGTAGCTCACACCTGTAATCCTAGCTACTCAGGAGGCAGCGATCAGAAGGATCATAGTTCGAAGCCAGCCTGGGCAAATAATTCACAAGACCCTATTTCAAAAATACTTAACACAAAAAGTACTAGTGGAGGTGGCTCAAGGTGTAGGCCCTGAGTTCAAACCCCAGTACCACAAAAACATGATATAATAGTGTGAGTAGACTGATTTGGACACCAATCTTGGACACATACCAGCTAGGCTCCTTTAGGCAAGATGCTTAAATTTTCCAAGCTTTGGTTATGGAAAATATGGCTTAAATGAAATAACCTATGGTAAAATACTCTGTTCTTTGTGAACTATTGTTTAATAGATATATTGTTTATCTATGATAACTACAAGCTCCTATACAAAAGGCAAAGTACTCTGCATATGGTGGTCAATGCCTGGTAGATGCTTTATTTTGGCATGCCGAAAGCAATCTTTCTGAAGACTTTGATGGTGTATTGATGTAGGGAGAGCATTTAGGTTATGACAGACGAACTTACTAATAGAAATCTTGAACTGATTTTTGTTTAGTGGGAATTTGCTGATAGGTTTGTAACTTTAAAATGCTTCCTTTTGTCATTAAACGTCATATATGTGTGTGTGTATATATATATATAATTTAAAGCAATCATTTGCTTTTTATTCTATGATTTTTAAGTAATTATAATGTGCCAGATGTGATTCTATTTTTTAAGTTATTTTAAGTCAATTTTATTTTTATTAAAAACAAAAGACAATATATTTTCTTTATTTAAAAACAAACTCTTGAATTATTCACATAATATATAAAGTATGCCAAACATGATTCTAAACATTAGCATTTAGCAGTCATCAAAACAACTTACCTCCTTACAAATTTACAAACTGATAAAGTCTAAGGAAGCTTAGATAAGTGTTATGAGATAGATGAGGCATTCAGTGATTTTTCTAATCTCTCAGTGAGTTTATATACTGAGTACAAGGGTCAGGAGAGAGGGAGGGAGGTTAAGGAAAGATAAGGCACCAGTGACTCAGGCTTGTAATCCTAGCTACTCAGGAGGCAGAGATCAGAAGGATCATGGTTCAAAGCCAACACAGACAAATAGTTTGTAAGATCCTATATCAAAAATCTCCCACACAAAAAAAGAGCTGGCAAAGTGGCTGAAGGTGTAGGCCCTGAGTTCAAACCAAAGTAATAAAAACAAAGCAAAAAAAAGGTGAAAAAGTGGGGAAGCTAGTAATATTCAGAATTTTGAGCCAATAAAGTACTCAGCCATGTACTTAAGAAGAAATTGCTCAACACAGCTGCCAGTGTTTTTCTAGCTTATCTAGACACTTGAATGCAAGAAATATTGAGGAAAATAATTGTTTTTAATTAGAGTCAAATCTTTTCCTGAATAGTACAAGAAAGAGAGAGAGGGTCAGAGAGCCACAGGTATTTGCAAGAGTACTACTACTACTAATAGTATAATAATAATAATGCAGTATGGAATCTGAGTTGAGTTGGGATGGAAGTGAGGTCATGACGATGATAATACATAGTGAAAAAATGATGGGAATAGTGTATTGCACTCTCATCCAAATTTTGAAGAATTTTAGCAAGATGAGAATTAAAGTGGACAAAATGCAAGGTTAGGAAGAATGCTGAAAATGCAAAATGTTTAAAGATAAGAGTATACGATAACTGTATGAAAAATAAATGCTAGAGGGGTGACGGAAGGGACTGCACTTGGATAACAGGGCCAAGATGCATTGTGTTCCCAAAGAAGCCTTTTTTATTTTGCTGTCCCTGCTGCACCTGAACATGGAGAGACAATGGTGTTATAGAAAGCTAACCTCTTGTCATGGTGAAGAAAAGAAAGCAAGGCCTAAGGTTAATTTTTCCATTATTTGCTAAGAAGTGGTAATAACCCAAGTGTCATTGAAATTACACTGATTTCACACACAATTAAAAAATGCTAAGCAAAATTGAGAGTTCAAGGAGAAGTAATAGCAAGGGAAAATTAGCTCAGGGATAGGATGTTTTTTTAAAATTTAATGCTGCAAGTAAAGTTTAAACTTCTTAAGAGTTTTGAGCTTATTAAAATGTGGAGCTACCCTCCTTTAAAAAAATATCACTTTAAAGACAGAAAATTACACTATAGTATTACAGAAAATTGAACAGAATAACTTAGGATTCCAGGAAGAACAAAAAAAAAAAAATTTGAAATGTTAGTCATCAGTCTCCCAAGATAAGACTTGAAAAAAATCAATGCTGATAAAGATTGGTATTGAGTAGAATGTAGTATGATCCTCAAACAGTGCACTTGTTAACTTTCTTTTACATAAATTTTGACAAAAGGAACTTCAAAATATAAATAATTTATTCATAGAAACTACTTGTCACTCTTATCTTGAAAAAGTAAATACTAGTTATCAAATAATATACCTGTCTGCTTAAATTCTATTTGTTCTTTTTTTCCTCACTGCCTTTAGGGCTTGAGAGCTAGACAAATTATTGCAAGAACAGAATTCTCCCCGCATGCCCTGAATCAATCATACACTAGAATTATCTCTGCACTATTTGAAAAGTGCCTTCACATTTTTCCTCTTGGGTGGAATGTTCCCTTTCAATTTCCTATCACTGTGCTGCCATTCATCCATTTCCACCTTAACAAATCAGTTTGTCTGCCCTGTAAATCCTTCAGTCAAGTAATTTCTTTGGTGAAATTTACCTTGAATGTCTTAAGATAGCTGATAATGCTGGAAGTGTGTTAGAGATTACAGACCCTCTGAATCTGTGTACTCTATTGTCGCAAAACCGTCTTCAGGATATATATAATCCTGTTTCCTAGTCCTATCTTCAGTAGGTATTTCTGAGTATGCATACAATAGACAGGTGACTTCATTTTTCACGTGCTCATTATTTCCAATGAAAAAAGATGATAGCTTAATTATTATTAATCCTCAATGCAGTCTTAAGAGCAGGTGCTTATTACTTTAAGGGGATAGATAGAAATAGAAGGTGCTAATGATCCAGTCAAGAAAATGTGAAAAAAAAATGTGTTTGGTCATTTGGCAAATATTTATTAAGCACTTACTATGTGTGATATTGTTCTAAATGCTAAAACACAAAGATAAATGGAAACTATATAAGTATCAAGCACTTATAATGAATTGGACATAAATGCATACAGACAATGTAAAAGGTATAAATTTCCAAGTTTGCCTGTCAAAGTTCTCTGTGAAGGATTTTCCGGTTTTCTTTTTTAATGTGCACTGTAGCTCTCCTTTTGTCTTGGCTCTTATCTGAAAGCTGTGCAGTGCTGTTACAGTGAGTGCACAAGCAAGTTCTTAACTGTGATCTGTTCCCAAATTGGAACAGTCTTGGTCATGTACCAGGTGACATCTAGATAATTAATGAGGAGGAACTTTGGTCTACAAGGTGCCACTGATGCTGAATTCATTGTCACCTCCAGCCCCCAGGTTCTTTGCTCTTAATCCTGTTCCTCATTTTAACCTGCAGCGCTTGAGAAGGGTTCTCTAAAACTTTTGACCCCCTGGGAAACAAAGACCCAGTTGTGTCTGCTCTTTTTCTGCTTTTCCTTGTTAAAAATCAAATAATAAGCTTCCTCCTTCCCTCTGTGCTGAACAACTGATTAGGTAGTCATTTAACTTACATATTAAGAGGCTAAAGTTAGATCATAAACCTAGGCAAAAGAAAACAATGAAAATTGTAAAGGAGGGGTAGAGTCAGGCAGTGAATGGAGGAGGGGAAGCAAAGGAGGAAAAGGAAGACTATATGAGAAAATCACAGTTAAATAAGGGCTCCCGAAATTGAGAAGGAAATTAGCTCTGAGGTTCTGGTGACCAAAGCAAAAAATAGAAACATAATGAATTCTTAAAAGATTATCAAGGGAAACAAAATTTTCCTAGCTCTGAATTACTAGAGAAATTTATCACCAGGACTTTCAAATAGTAGTCATTCATACAATGTATTAGATGGAAACTTCATTAGTAATTTGTTTAAATTCCTAGTGACATTTCTTAGATCTTCCTTTAAGATGACAAATGACATTAAATCTATAAAATTGGATCTGACATTCAAACTAATATTGTTAAAATAAATAGTCAGCCACAGTATTTTCAAATACTTTAATTCTCTGTTGCCAATACTGCCAGCTCCCAATTCCCTCCTCCATTACCTATAGTACTCCAATTATTCTTTAAAATACTTAATATAATCATTAACAGCACAGGTTTGGCCCCGCAGTGGGAATAATCCTGACAAATTACATGTGAATCCAAAATCTTAAATTAGGACAAGGCCTTCCCTCTTTTCCCTACCTCTTCATCACAATTGCTTGACGACAAGCTTTTTAAAAATCAGACTCCTAAACCCAGCCTCAAAGATTGCGATTTAGTAGTTCTGGGTATAGGCTTGGAAGTCTGTTGTTGGGAAGTCTGTTGTTGTTTTTAAGTAGATTCTCCAAGGTAGTCAGGCATTCAGAAATCACTAATCTGATCCTCTCTTCTACCTAACACAGGAATCTTCTCTAAGTAAGCGTAGCTGGAGTGGTGCCCACACCATGTTGAGGGATACCTTGACTTCAAGAGAAAAGCTGTTGCTCTCTAGGAAAGCTTTAATTTTCAAATTACATTTTTTCTATAATCACAATACATTTTAAAATGTTTTGCTTCATTTCTGGTTAAACTTTCATTGTTAAAGGTTGCTAACCCTACAAAAATTTCCCTGTTCCTGTCATCTACGTATCAGATTGTTAATGATCTTGCAAAAGGATGTAAATGCATCAGGAATTGTATTACCCACTAACATAATTATTTGGGTATTATTTTCTGAGTGAAACTAGAATGTGGCTATTCATTCTTACAAGGTGCAATGTATTTTATTAAAATTGGCAAATCTTATACACCTGTTTCTAATGTAAGAAACTTGAACATCTTACATCAGTCAAGATCCTTATTGTCAAATTAATGTCTTTATCAAAGGTGAATCTTAACATTTTTTCATTTTCAACATAATTTGGAGTCATATAGTAGTTATTGATATTTTTGTCTGCTTCTCTAAAAACTTTGCCTCTAGGAAACTACTTTCACTTCACTACTTAGAGCCCAGGGCTTAGAATGTGACCTGAATTGAAAATCTTGAGCGGTTTAACATGAAAAGTAAATGACTGGGTAATTTACAAGTTATGCATTTCAAATTAAGTGAATAGCAAAGAAATAAAATTTCACATTAAAACATTGAAAATTTCCTCCTAAGGAAGATTCATCACATGAGTATGAGTCTCATGTGGCAAACAGGGTACTGTGAAATAGCCTGAAAATAAACTTAAGGTGGAGGAAAATAATTTAATTAGATCTGTCATGTTTCTCAAGGGGGAAGACATACACAAAAGAGCAATTACTTTGTAACTGCATATTAGAAAGTCTAGTTGACTGTGGAACTGTTTTCTTCATTCTTCACATTTTACAATATAAATTGATTGTATTTTCAGTGTAAGTGGTCTTTGGGAGAATTTAGTAAATGATTAGACTAGATGAGGCCTCTCATTCAGGGACTTCAGAGCACATGTTGCTACAGGCAATGTAACTTCTTCACACAGACTCGTATTTGGAGACTCTTATCAATGCAAAGTACAGAGGTTAAACATCTGCCTCTTTCCAGGGGACTCTGGAGTCAGGAAGCAGTCTAGGTATCGGGTCATCATTCAGCTGCCAGCCAATGGAGGACGAGACTGCACAGATTCTCTCTATGAAGAGAAGACATGCGAGGCCCCTCAAGTGTGCCAAAACTACAGGTAATGGAGGAAACGCAGTCCAGGTGATATACGGAGCAATGCTTCCAGTCCACATTCTCTCAGACAATGAGGAGGGGAAGCCAAATCTGTTCCTTCCCCAGGATATTTATGGCTATAGCTGCCACTTCTCTTTATGTAGGAGAGCTGCTGTGCCTCTGAAATTATCTCCAAGAAGGCAAATACTTGTGTCAATTAACCAGCTGTGTCATTAGTTCCAATAGTTTGGGGCAACTTCTTATGTTAATATAAATGCTAAGAAATACAGAAAAATGGCTAATAATTAGGAAACACATATGCTTTTGGAAGCAATTTCTTTTTCACTTAGGAGAGTAGCCTAAGCATTTTTCCCCTGATTCCAAAGAGCACCTGTTTCTCATAACTGTTGGCACTCTGGCCAGGAAATGGCATTACTATGCCCATGAGATTAGTAAGATGTCTCTTGTGTCATTTGTGATCACCCCAAAGAAAGTTATGGTAATTAAAGCTATATATCATCTTGATAATTTATTAGAGATATTTGGAATTGAAGTTTGGGTTATTTTTAAAATTTGTGTTTGTTAAAGCGTACTTTAATATCATTTGGTGAGTTACTCCATGTACTGAAAATCAAAGCACTATAGAAAAGACTCATGATTTGAATTCAGTTTTATACCTTGAATACAAATAAACATAGCTTACGTCCATGGAATGCCACACTTCCGATGCAATGTGGTGCATCCCTTGACAGTCTGAATCATTAGGTCCAATGCCTTCTGTCGCTCTCTGTAGAGTCCATTGCATAGAAATTGGCTATGCTATACTCTTGTTTTCAGTGCCACAGCAAGTATTTCATATTTAAAATGGCTTTTTTATGGTACCTTACAGAATATCTCAATTAAACAAAGTAATGTTTAAAAAAAAGAAAACTTGCAGTGGTTCAAGTCATGTTTTTATGCTGCTGTGTCTCTTGTGACTTGCCTGACTGACATTTCTGCTTTCTCTCCATGGGACTTCTGTTCTTTTCTTGTAGGTGGAAGACTCACAAATGGCGCAGGTGCCAGTTAGTACCATGGAGCGTGCAACAGGACATCCCTGGAGTACAGGAAGGTTGTGGGCCTGGACGACAGGCAAGAGGTGGGAGGCTCCATGCACAGTTGATTTGCTTTTTATTTCTCCAATATCTGTATCTTAGACCTTTCTTGATGTGTTTGTTGCTTTGACACCAGATTTAGCAAACAGAGCAGATCTGCTCTGACTCATTCTACAAAACACTTTTAAATTTTTGTTCTTTGGCATTGGCCCATACCTACTGAATTTTTAGCTATCTTATATCTGGAAGAAAAACCAAGTGTTTGGTTATTACATCAACAATACACGAATGTTTCTTTTATGTTTTAGATCATACTAATCCAAAGCACTTGACTTGCCACCTTAACAAATCAGTAAGGTTCATACATCCTTGCCTATATGCATCATATTGTGATGTAATACAAATAGATGATGATCTCAGGAGTTCTTGACTGTGACATTCCTAACATTGTCATAGTTAACTGTGGCTGTAGTCATAGTACTGATTTTTAAATGGGGGATTTATTTAGTCAAAACCTGCAATCTGTCTGCCCTACTGCATAACACAGAATCCTGTAGAACTGTGTGATAGAAATGCTTCACATTTGCTGTAATTATTTACCAGACTTTATAGGGAATAATTAAATCTCACACTTTGGACCATGTTGTTTATGTGTGTAGCAAATTCAGTCCTTACAGAGTTCATGGTTGTTTCTACTCATACTGACTTTTAGCTCATAGTTCCTGCTGTGTATATGCTTCCAATGTAGCTAACAATGTAGTTGAATATGCATCTACTTTTCTTTAACTTATAAAGATGTGTTTTCGCATTTGTAGTCATATATTTCATCATGACACAAAAGATTGAACATATAAAACAGAATTTCAGTTTTTATTGATTTGATCTTGGACCAAATCAATTATTATCCATTTCAGAAGTCTTTATATGAAATATACAATTAGATTTAGAAATAATATTAACTGCCTAGTGTTTTTAAAGATTTGGTTTTATTTACATAACTCTTACTATATGTCCTCTATAATATAACTCTGGCTAGACACACAGATATTTACAAAGATGTAGATATAAAATCGAGCATCATTCTCAATTCTACTCTCTCTCAAACATTTTTCAAGAAATTGAGTGATACAAGATCTTATCATGCACGGCAGATTCCTCCTGGAATCAAGCAGACATTTTGATTCTTATAATGGACAGGAGAATGAGGTTGGGACTCAGGAAACATAAGTTACTTTAGTTTCAGTTCTAACACAATGTGGATTTCAGTTTATTCAGACGAAAAGAAGAAAAAAAAGAATGATTTGGCCCAAATGCTCTTTTACAATGATTTTACTTTTCATTCTGTCATCTGCACACATATACTATCTAGAGATCAAAGGGCAAAATTAAATTCAGTAATGCAGACAAAAGATGTGTTTTCTTAGAATTCCACTGGAGGAAATACTGTACACAGTAGATGCAGCACAAGTGTGAAACAGTATCAGTCCTGAACTTTGTTAATGGTAAGTTGCACAACCTTGGATGGTCACGTCCTCCCTTTGAAGCTGAAAAACAAAAGCCTTACAACACTGCACACACGTTCTATTCTTTAAAAGGTGATTCCTTCCTTCTTCGTGTCAGTTCACAGCACTGAGGAATGTGCACAAATGTCATAATAAGACATGACAGCAGCTGTGTGTGTGTGTGTATATGTGTATGTGTGTGGGTGGGTGGGTGGGTGCATGCATGTGCGTGTGTGTGTATTTGGCCGTACTGGAGTTTGAACTCAGGAACTCACTTTTGTTAGGCAGACACTCTACCACTTGAGCTGCAGCCAGAGCTCTGTTTTTCTTTAGTTATTTTTCAGATAGGGTCTCACATTTTTGCCTAGGGGCAACCTTGGACTGTGATCCTTTTGTGCCTCACACATACCTGGGATCACAGGTATGTACAACCATGCCAAATTTATTTGTTGAGATGGTGTCTTGCTAGCTTTTTGTGGGAGTGGATTCAAACTGTGACCAACTAGCTGGGATTGAAGATGTGAGCCACCACTTCCAGCCTTATAAACAACGATATTAATATGGGGGTTTTGTTTTTTGACACAGTCTGAACCAAAAAACTGTTCTTTCTGTGATTATCATTGACCTTTTCATTTGCAAAGCTGTAGACCTTAGTTCATTCTTATCCTGGAAGACTGATTGCTAGTATCTAATACTTCTACTCACACCTTCTGTGACAGAGCATCTTTAGCCTCCCCATGCTGCTTCCCAAGTGATCCTGTCTTAGTTTTCTGGTCTTAGTGCCTCTTCCTCTACCTGTCCTTAAATAAGGCTTTCCACCCCTTTTCAGGTTGTTCACTCCATCTGACAATCTTGTTTGTGCTCAGCATCTCTGGGAAAAGAAATTTGCATTTTAACAGGTGATTTCTATGTAATTAGAAGCACCCCTTTAACTCTCAGATAAAGATCATGTTTTTCTTTGTTATTTCAGTACATGGAGATTTCTTTTTCATAGAGCCTATGTTTATTCAGGACAAGAAGTTTCTTTTGCTAACAGCATAGAGCAGAACTTTCTTGCTTTGATGTTTATGAGTGTTTTCAAACCTCTGCATGATTGGTTTTATATTTGTCCTTATGTGGTCAGAGACAAACAGCAACATAAAGACAACTTATATTTGTTTATTTTTGCAGTACTAGGATTTGAATTCAGGGCTTGCACTCGCTAGGCAGGTGCTCTATCACTTAAACCATGCTGCAGATCTTTTTGCTTTAGTTATTTTTTCTGACAGAATCTGGCATTTTTGCCTGGGCCTCACCTGACCACAATCTTCCAACCTATGCTTCCCATGTTTCTGGGGTGATAGACATGTGTTACCATACCTGAAGTCTCAGTAAACTTTTGCCTGATCTGGTCTCAAACCATGATCCTCCCAATCAATCTCCACTTTCCAAGCAGCTGAGATTACAGATGTGTGTCATCAAGTTTGGCCCTTGTGTTAAAAAAATTATGTAGTAAGTATTAAATCAGTCAGCAAAGACGACAGAGTGGACAGCATGTCCTCTCTAGTACATGGGGCTTTCTAGTTCCAGCTACTCATTCTATTGTGATTGCATTCAGAAGACTGTGCAGAAACAGTCATGAGGGTTATGAAAGAATGTATATATTCAAACCAGGGGGATTACATTTGTTAGGGAAATGAGATCACTGTTAACATTATCTAACAATTAGGAGTTAAAGATGAAGACTAATCAATTGCAAAAACAATCATTTGAAGCTAATGAACTGAGGAAAGGCTTAAAGGCTGGGACTTTACTTGTAGCATCTTCTTAGAATAAATAGAAAGGAGGAAAGAATACAGAATGAGATATAAGCATTTGAGGTAAGAAAACAATATGCATATTCACAGAAAAGTGGGTAGATTGGGTCTCTGAAGATGCGTGCTAGGGCCTGGGGTTATTTTGTGGAGCACTATAAATGTCAGGATCAGTATTTTAGACCTTGTTCAATAAGTGGTAGAAGCAAGGACCTGATGAAAGCAGTGTTTTATCTGTCAGCATGTTCAGAATAAATTAGAAAGATAAGACACATGGCCTGGATGCCAGAATACACTATTTAAGCATTGCAAGGTTAAAGTAACAGGCCTCAGACTAAAGCCACAGCAGAGAAAATGGGCAAAAATAAACACATCTCACACTTAGGGTAGTGGAAGATATTTTTAGGACTTAGTAACAAATACAAGAAACTACAGAAATGAGTCAAAAGTAAACATGATGTTCAACTCTATTTTCACCTTACAGTAGTCCTATTGATGAAAATTGTTAATCTGAAAGCAGAGCTAATTTTGGAAAGTGTATTTTGATTATTTTGCATTTGAGAACATGATTTTTCTATTAGCCCAATGGAAAAATCTAAGTATGCATTTGAAATGCAGAAATGTAGCTGTAGAGATAGCTTAGAATGGCAGATAGAAATTTGAGTGACATTCCATAAAGTAATTTGTTGAAGCAATAGGGAAAGTTAAGGTCTCGAAGATATATTATATATATGAAGAAAAGTGGCCAGTATATTTTATCATTAGTAGATTTTTTTTTCTCTAGTTCATGTTTGTAGGCTTAAGAAGTTAATTTAAATACTCTTAACTTTAAATTACTGCTTCCTTACTTGCATCAAAAGGACACCATATGAATTAAAAATGATTGTTTTCATTTCATGTTACTTTATCACACCATGATTCTAAAAACAGAAATATTGTATAGCCTTTCTCAAACTATTTTTATATACCAGAGATCAGGAAATTATTGCTATGAGTCAAGTCCAGCCTGCAGCATATTTCTTTGAAATTCAAGTTTTATTGGAACACAGTCACACCCATTCCTTTATGCATTGCCCTTGCCTTCTTTAAAGACACAAGGCAAAGCTGAGCAGCTGCAAAAGAAAATACAGCCCTTAAAGCCAAATATATTTAGTATCTTGCCATTTACAGAGAAAGTTTACTAACCTTAGTCTAAATTCCGAAGCATGGACTCACTGATACACTTTCAAGTTCTGATATTGAAGTCACCTCCCAATAGGATCAGAAGAATTCTTGTTCTTGTTAGGAAAAGTTTCCTAATTCAGTTGAGCAATGAAGAAATTATTGTAGAATGATAAGAAAAGTGGACTTTAAAGACTGTGACAGAAATAAGATTTCAGCGTTTAGGATGAGATTACAGCATTTTTAGGAGATCTAAGAATACTATGTTGACTTTCAGGAATTTAGTAACAAATATTTTTAAAAAGAGTTAAAGGAGAAACCTAAAAATACATGGAAAATGGAAGACAAGAGAAAAATATTCTAATTCCCTGTAATTCTTCTATCTAGCAGATGATAAATCAGATCTGAAAACTGGACATTATGCAGTGACTTACTTTCTGAGTATGCATGGAAAGAAAAGAAAGTGTGTTTTAATATGATATGTACTCAACAATAATAATTACAAGATCATCTGTTATGATTCAACTTGAACTCTTAATATTACTAGGAAAACATAATACTAAAGTCTCTTTTCCACCTTAATAGCCA